TTCAACCAATGGACCAGAACATCATTCAGTTTGTCAAGCAAGACTATAAGAAAAACCTTCTTCTCAGAGCCGTATCAAAACACCAACCAATAGAAAAAACTTAAAGAATTTAATATAAAAGACTTGGTTTTTGCTCTTTGTCAGTCGTGGAATGCGTTACCGTCATCAACTATTAAATCGTCTTGGACAAAGTTATGGCCAGATATAGTCACCACTCCTAGCAACGTTCCACAAATCAGTGTAACTTCGGAATTTATAGAACAAGTCGCAACTGAAACACAGATAAGCTCGGAAGATTTGGAAATCTGGTGCCGTAGAATGGATAAAGAGGAAAATGTTTTTCATGAAATGTCTGACGAAGAGATTATAAAAGAGGTTTCTAATTATGCAACAATCAGGAAAATAACGACGACGTGATTGCAACTGCTCCACAAGTCACAGCACAAGACGCAATTAACACATTTGAGCTAGGTTGACAATTGGCTGAAGAGAAATGGTACATCCTATAACGAACTTTTACTTTTGAGAAGTCTGAGGGACAAAGCTCTGATCTCGCGTTATAACAACCTTAAACAAAACAAAAAATTGATGAATATTTCCAAGCTTCATAATTTGATAAATTCATTAATGATTTTGATTAATAATTCTTGATTATTTTGGTACATATGTATGTGCATTTATGCTTAATTTTATAATAAAACGTAAGCTCTCTATTATTATTTAATTTACTAAATTCGACATACATAAACTATGTGTGATTTGTACTTCAATGTACATACATATACATTAAATATATAATCTTACCATTGGATATGTAATTTGTCGGATTACAAGGTACTCTTTTGTAAAAAATTCCGGACTATAGGGGGTTTTAGGCAGTACTGTATAATCCGACAAATTCGATAGTCCGACACTGCCCTGTATGTTTGTCGGATTACCGGAGGTCCACTGATTTATTTTCGCTTACAAAGTGTTAATTAACTGACTGAAGTATCAAATTTTTTGAAAAGGTAGAACGCTCTACATCACTACAAAGCCAGATTAATCAGGCGAATTTCGTCAAAAAGTATTCCATCCAGCTGGGTGGCGTGCTATTCGATTTTATAATCTCCCTTATAGAGAGTTGGTTTTTCATTTTTTTTTTGATTGAAACACAGTATTCGAGCATAATTCAGATAGGTAGGAGAGAAAGTATCAAAAACATTTTATCCTGCTTTGTGGTATTAATATTCTACACACCGTTTCTACTTTTTGTTCTTGCTATATAAAGCATAAATAGACAATTTCTAAAGCCCTTTGGACTGTTGCCTTCAGCTTTCTTGGCGCAATGAGGGGGGGGGGTGGTTGGTCAGGGGGAATACAGACATAAGGCCTTTGGGAGTTTTTTCCCACATTACCGTCGCTTTAGTGATTATTCTGTATGAATTTTAAAAATATACATATGACCTAATTACTATAATTAAAATCAGTGCACTGCAACAACATATAAATCACAAACAAACTGAACATAAATCAGAGAGGTTGTCGCTTACCCCGGTGCCAGTGCATGCCTCATAACTTGGATACGAAATGGAAAACATTCATTTTATGACCGTTCCAAAGTTTTTTATGGCACTTGGCTGTCTTTCGCTGAATTATATCCCCAATTTATTTCCTTTCTGGAAACACTTCTTCCACTAGCTCAGCTAATTTAAATCCTCTCTGGTCGCTAAAAACGGGGAACTCCTCTTCCCGCTAAGTTCGGATGAAAGAAAAATCAAGAGCCAATTTAAAGCTGGAATCGTATCCAATTGTCTTTTTTGTCGCGGTGAGAATAAGGATACGAGGATTCGAATTTACTTTTTTTAAGGGCTTCCTTCTATCCCCTACGTCAAAAAAGAATTGTGACCACGGAAATTTTTGTTTATTTTCTTAGATGTCATAGTACATCTGCTGTTGGTACTTGTGTCACGTCTAAATCAGTAATCTTTCATCCATTTTGATGGAAAATTTGAGGAGATATACAGGGTGGCCCATTTATGTGTGGACGGAATATTACTCATAAACAAATACATTTTGGGTAAATCTGTTTATGTTAAAAATTTCAAATGCATCACCCTGCATATTTGTGCAAGTTTGGCTTCAGTTTTTTTATAAGCTTTTTTTGATACTAGATACATAAGTGTTTTTACGGCTATTTTTTCGGTTATTAGCACGTCTTTTATGGAACGGCTTAATTCCTTAAAATAATCCCATCATCCTTGGAAACAAATAAATTGTTGATTAGTTACAAACTTTCAAAATTAGCTTTATGAGCGTTATAATGAAAACGTGTTTGAAAATGAATTTTTCTAAAGAAGTGGTGAATATGGTGTTCGTTTTGGCCCAAAGAAATAGTTTCTTAGCATCTCGCATCTAAAAGCGACGGTACCCTAATATGCGACATCCAAGGGCGGAAACATCCTCCACACTACGAGAATGTTTTGAATCAACCGGAGCAGTGGAATAAAGTAAAAAATGTATAAATAATCCTTGTGTCACCAATGAGGCGAATCAGTTGGAGGATCTATTAAATTTGCAGGAAAATCCCCATTTAAGTCCACGACAAATTGGAGCAGAAACTGATATATGCAGAACTTCTGTCCAAAGGATTATTCACAAGCATCGGTACCATCCATATCGCCTATGCTTGCACCAAGGCCTTCGTCCTCAGGATTTCGCAGCTCGAATGGAGTTTAGTAGAATAATGCTAAATAAAGTGAGTGAAGACACTACTTTCCTGGATAAGGTTCTTTTTAGCGACGAGGCAACTTGTAAGAGCATAACTGTTGTCAACATGCATAACATGCACTATTATGCGTCGGAAAACCCTTACTGGGTTAGGCAAATAGATTTCCAAAATAAATGGAGCTTGCATGTTTGGGGAGGAGTTATTGGCAGACAAGTTATCGGGCCTTTCTTTTTCGACAACAGGTACAGAATACCTGAATTTTTTGATTAAGCAGCCTTCGCTTTTGGAGGATGTCAACCTGCAAACTCGGATGCATATGTACTTCCAACATGAATGCACACCTGCGCATCATCATAATCGTGTGCGTAACAATTTGGACGCCTGGAGTAACAATCGTTGGATCGGTCGTGATGGGCCTATATCTAGGCCTCCTAGATCACCAGATATGACACCAATGGACTTCTTTTTATGGGGTTACGTTAAGCAAGAGGTTTATGGATATCCACCATCTACCCCGGAAAATATGAGGGAAAGGATTAAGGATGCTTTTCTGAACACAAGGGAACATATGCTGAGGGATGTGCAACGGTCATTAATCCAAAGACTACGGCTGTGTATTCAACAGATTGGAGATATTTTGGAACAGTTTTTGTAGATTAGGTCTTGAGTAGTGATCGTTGTTTGTTTATGTTGTTGTTATAGGTGTTTTTCTCTATTACGCTTGAAGCTGATTTATACTGTATTTTTTTGAAAATTTCCGCCAGTTTTGTTGACTTCGGCAGAAAATTTTAATAATCGGTTGAAGGGCTGCGGTTTTATTTTCACAAAAAAGGCAAATTTTTAAGAAAAGTTCACCACCCTGTATCTTAGAAATGACACAATACATACAAGCGTACCTATGCTTATGTAAACTATTTTATTTAGAACCACCTAATGAATGAAGCCTTGAAGTTTGACCAGATAGTTTATCAGATTATTGATCACCCTGTATAATGTGCACAGTCCTTACAATACTGCCCTCGTATTTTTCTAGATTTATCTCATACACATAAAATAGATGAACCTATTATTGGATTACCACGTGTTAAGGTAGTCTGGATTTGTATTTAATCAACAATATTTTGCCAGGTTCAAGGAATGGCACTGGTTCTCAGTTTTAGCGAAGAAAGATAGCTTACAGTGGCGCAGATGAATGTATTTCTATTACTAGGAACGAAATGGGGAATTTTTATCAAAAAAGAGAATTAAAAATTGATGTAAACTATCTATTTCAGCTACTAAAAAATGTCGTCATTTATGTTGACTCTGCACTTCTCACGAAAAGCTGTCATTACTTTATAAAGAATTATTCGGCACAAGTTAGCTCTGTTCAGAGAAATGTTAGCTACGAACTTGTATGACAATGAAATCAAATGGATCAAGTCAGCGAAACAGGCCCATACAATTAATATATAATCTTCACCCATTTGATAACGTCGCGATCTATAAACATGTCCCCTGCCCTACCGATAGTGCCAACCATTTGGCAACGTTGTTGTAACCAACCTCGCCAGCCGCCAGCCATTCATCGGGCATCTATCAGGTATGTCTACGTTCGTTGAGTTGCGTAGGACGCGTGTGTTGAAAATATTTCTCTATCACTTTAAGTCTTAAGGGCAATTGAACTGGGAGATCTAAGATGTGTAGAATATGTCTAATAGCTGCATCGAATTACCGCGGTTGGAATATACTAACCTAGCGACAAAAATTGAGAAATATCCCCCTACACTTCTCAAGCCCGAATCCCCAAAATCAGCTAGCTTCGCCGCCCCTGGACCAATTTCCAAATGCTACCATTTTTTCTGTTCTTGGTATAGTAGCAAACCTGTGTGAAAATTTCATATAAATCTGACCGGAAGCAACAAAGTTATAGCAGACAGACAGGCCGACAGGCAAACCTATTGAAATGCGTGGCATGGTTTTTCGTGATGTACTTGTCATACAACATCTATAATATCTCATCTCAAAATTCCAGCTGTGGGGAGACGTCTTACCTCCATATCACATCCCCGGTCTTTGGACTCCTTCATACCTCCAGAATTTTCTTGAAGCAATGTTACATCGTGGTCGAGCTTAATAAATCATACTACTCTTGAAATGTGAGGCACTTCGCTTCTTATTAAGGCATCATCAGATTGTCACATTGACATAGAACGAATGTTAAAGGTATACTTATCTGAGCTCTATCTGTATTACCTATCTAGCCAGCGTTCTATGACGCTGTTTGAATTACTCATTTATTTATTAATAGATCCTGAATAAAATGATGGCTACGCCACTGCCGGAAGGAGGCTGTGCGAGCTCTGGTTGTAAATGAGAAGGGTAGAAAACAATAGCGCTCCACTTAAGCGGAAAACGACTCCGTTATTGTACGCTCAAATTGCGTTAATTTCCAGACCGTCGTATGAAATAAAAGGTGAAAGGAAATTAAGTCTTGCTTCTCTTAAGGAGCTGGGATCGATTGCCTTTTTGTCTCAATTGATGTTCTGAGAATGTAAATCAGGAATCACGACGTTTCGCGTTCTAAATACGACGCTGAATTTATTGCTAGTTGGGGATCGTTGAATGCTTACAATCATTTGTTTTTGATAAAAACGTTCTATGACAAAAATCAGGTCTCAGAGTTTTTATATTTGAATAAAGGCGCTTCTCAACGGGCAATAGTTTAAATTCATTATGTAGCTGCAACACAGTAGCCAGCAATCTGGACAGAAGCAGCAGCCATATTCGGGTACCAAACAGAAAGGAAGCAGCAAAACACATCGCACGCGCATGCTGACGCCTTTGGATATGGCCGACTTTGTCATTTCAAAGAGATGCCGCGCTGGCATGGGCGTGCGATGTGTTTTGCTACCCTCTTTCTGTTCTGTACCAGAGTGTAGACTATGCAATATACTGCTATATCTTTAATACGTAAAAACACATATTTGACTTTCTCGATATATTTCCATATACGGATACTATAAAATGTTGAGACAGGTCCATGAGTGCATAGTAGCCTCCAGCTTGACGATGACCGAGAGTCACATACCAACAGATAGAGCAGACCTTATACCTCTTCATGCATCAGCAATTTATTCAATTCTGCAAGACCATTTACGCGGTAGGGAACTTTGTTCTCTCTGGGTACCGCTTAGTCTGCCGAAAGAGTAGAAGACTCGTCGTCCGACTTGGTGCCGAAAGTTGCTGAAAATGTTCGATAAGGGACAATCTCGGTATGTGAACAGCATCGTGATAGATGACGAGACTTGGCTCTATTATTACGATGATTTTTCAAATCGAGTGGGATTGTGGAGCGTGTGGGTGTGAACGTACAGAAGACAGTCATACCTAAGTGGTACACGGAACAGTGCCTGCCTAAACTCATAGAGTCTAGGAAAAACCGTCGGCCAAAGTCAAGTATGGACACTTGGTATCTACACCATGACAATTTTGTCAGCCATTGACTTTGTAGCCCGTCTGATGTCTAATTTTGTCAAATTTAAGTTTCTGCATATTGCGGGAAATATTTATGAGATACGAAGTGAGTTGTTTAAGTATGTAATCGGTCTACAGCTCTGTTATTCTCAGATATGTCCAAAAAGTCCATAAAAAATGAGAGCAACCATACGCTGTTTACCTGAAAAATACGCCGCAAACTACCTGTTACTACAAATATTAACTTTTTTCGGATTTTATTTTTACAATCTAATGATGAATACTGCATCTTCAAACTGGTGTCTCAACCTTACTGCCAACTTTTCTCGTTCAGGAAAAATTGCCACTTATTTCCCAACCAAGTATTCCAAAGTAAAATTTTGCTCAACTTTAACTGGCTGTACTGGAAAAAAATGTACTACGAGAGTTTGCCAAGTAACCTTAAAAGTTGGCGCATTTAATAAGGATTCCAAAATGGTATAACACTTAGAAGATTACTCGTTAACTTATGCACAATTTTTATTTGGAGAAAAACTGATGAAAATTTTTCAAAATTTCCTAATTAAACAGCGATTATGAAAACGCACCAGGACCCTTAAGGATAACTGTTTGCACAACAGTGGGCGTCAAAATACTGCTGATGATGATTTACCTTTACAGCAAATGCTCAAACTGTTTTCCTTCAGCCGCAATACACGCTCGACATCTTCTTAAAAAAGATCGGGTTATTAAACGAGCGAATCCACGGTTATTAACAAACTCAGCTGCTTCCAATAGTCTTTGCCGTAGCTCAGCTACATTTTGAATCGGCTTGAAATACACTTTTTCTTTTACAGTTCCCCAGAAAAAAATCTAAAGGATTCAAATCAGGTGATCGGGCTGGCCAAGGTATTGTACCAGACCGCCTTATCCAACTGCCTGAAAAGTTTTGATCGAGATACTCTCTCACTGAGAGTGCATAGTGCGCTGGGCAGCCATTATGCTGAAACCACATGTCCCTGTAAATACTCAGTGGCACGTCCTCCAATAAATTTTCTAAATGATTTTGCAAAAAACCTAAATAAACCTCAGCAGTCAAAGTCTCTGGGAACTCAAACGGACCGATTATTTTACGATTTAAAATTCCTGTCCAATGGTTTATCTTGAAGCGATATTGAGATTTATCTTCTCTCATCAAATGTGGGTTTGCTACGTGCCACTCGTGTAAGTTATGCAGGTTCATGTACCCATCTTTCTTAAATGTGGTCTCATCTGGCCATAAAATTTTTTCATTGAACCGTGGATCTTCTCTGTGTCTTTCTAATATTGTGCGACAAAAAGCAACTCGGGGCTCATAATCCCGAGGCAGAAGAGCTTGAACACGCTGTACGTGGTGATGGAGCACGTTTTTTTGCAAGATTCTATGGGCTGTACTTTTGGGCACACCTGTTTTTAGTTCTATTGCACGCACTGAAGTACTCGGGTCTTCTTCGACAGCTCCTAGCACCACGTCTTCGTAAGGAAGGAAAGATCTTCCCTCACCTTGTGATTGGTTTGGTAGTTGGCCCTCTGAGAACAGTAAGCGGTGCATATTTGTGAAAAGTCGATGATCTGGATGACGAGCGGCATTCGGGTACCTCTCACAGTAAAGTCTCGCTGCAGCACTAGCGTTGCATCTGCATTCCCCATAAATGAGGTGCATGTTAGCATATTCTTGTACGGTGTACACGGACATAGCGGCACTGTACAATCACACTATCACAGATAGTCTAAAGAAAGCAAATGTTGTTTTGAAGAGCAATTAAACAGTCCAAATCCAAAACACAAGCGATCAACAGTCCAGTTCACGAATCCAAAATTAGTAACAGTAGGAAATCAACAAGCACGAACATGTAAAGATGCGCAGTAAACGAAGGAGTACTGATCGGTATCAAAGTGTGCAATAGCAAGTAAGTGATGTGCTTCATCCATACCACATACAGCGTGTTCAACCTCTCCTGCCCCGGGATTATGAGCCCCGAGTTGCTTTTTGTCGCACAATGTTAGAAAGACACAGGAAAGATCCACAGTTCTTTGAAAAACTTTTATGGTCGGATGAGACCACATTTAAGAAAGATGGGTACATGAACCTGCATAACTTACACGAGAGGCACGTAGCAAACCCACATTTGATGAGAGAAGATAAATCTCAATATCGCTTCAAGATAAACCATTGGACAGGAATTTTAAATAATAAAATAATCGGTCCGTATGAGTTCCCAGAGACTTTGACTGCTGAAGTTTATTTGGATTTTTTGAAAAATCATGTACAAAATTTATTGGTGGACGTGCCACTGAGTATTACAGGGACATGTGGTTTCAGCATGATGGCTGCCCAGCGCACTATGCACTCTCAGTGAGAGAGTATCTCGATCAAAACTTTCCAGGCAGATGGATAAGGCGGTCTGGTAAAATACCGTGACCAGCCCGATCACCTGATTTGAATCCTTTAGATTTTTTACTGGGGAACTGTAAAAGAAAAAGTGTGTTTCAAGCCGATTCAAAATGTAGCTGAGCTACGGCAAAGACTATTGGAAGCAGCTGAGTTTGTTAATAACCGTGGATTCGCTCGTTTAATAACCCGATCTTTTTTAAGAGGATGTCGAGCGTGTATTGCGGCTGAAGGAAAACAGCTTGAGCATTTGCTGTAAAGGTAAATCATCTTTAGCAGCATTTTGACGCCCACTGTTGTGCAAACAGTTATCCTTAAGGGTCCTTGTGCGTTTTCATAATCGCTGTTTAATTAGGAAATTTTGAAAAATTTTCAAATAAAAATTGTGCATAAGTTAACGAGTAATCTTCTAAGTGTTATACCATTTTGGAATCGTTATTAAATGCGCCAACTTTTAAGGTTACTTGCCAAACTCTCGTAGTACATTTTTTTTCCAGTACAGCCAGTTAAAGTTGAGCAAAGTTTTACTTTGGAATACTTGGTTGGGAAATAAGTGTCAATTTTTCCTGAACGAGAAAAGTTGGCAGTAAGGTTGAGACACCAGTTTGAAGATGCATTATTCATCATTACAGTGTAAAAATAAAATCCAAAAAAAGTTAATATTTGTAGTAACAGGAGTTGACAGACTGCCGTAGGGTGTGAAATTTCTATATCTTTTTCAAAGACCTATAATTTTCAAAACACATACATAAAATTTTTTTAAATATTTTTCTGATAGCTGTTATGACTTTGCCTATCACCCGGTTTCGGCTTGAAGTCGACTTCTGGGACACCCTGTATATATATATAGGAAAATAATGCTGAATGGAAAATGAACTTTATCTAAATAAATTCTTATGGAGTGTGCTGTTTACTTTTATGGTTTGGGGTTATACTTTTTATAAGCCTAATTGTGGTATAACATTTTTGGGGGTCAAATTACTGTTATTGAAAAATCGATGGATTTTCGAAATAATCATAATTTTTGTAATTGTATGAGGTACAAACTTAATGTACATATTCATTCTCTCCTTGCATAAGAAATTGCTCATTCAGCCTTGTTTTCAGTGGGTGAGAACATTGCAAAAGTCTTGCTCATCAAGTGGCTTTCGCGAGAGAAGGTTTCACGTTATCATGAAACAAACACAACGATTCAAAATACTCAATCAAAACTGTGTAAAAATGATTTGTTCAAAAAACAACAGAAATGAACCATGAAGTATCCACCATGCTTTTTTGATCTGTATCTGATTGATTTAATCGGGATGAACTTGTTCGACGAACCGTAAGACAGTATCCAGCTTATAAACACTCAGAAATACCCTAAAATGACGAAACAGCAGATTAAAAGATCTTTTTCAACGAGATCGTCACAACAATGAACTGTTGCAGAGGAATTTTTTCATGACAAACATATGCAGATATAAATTGCATAGTGAAAATATTCTAAG